TTTCCCTTCCTCTCTGTAAAAAATCAATAAAATATATTAAAAATATATGTGTATATTAAAAAAAAAAACAAAGTGTGCAAGACTCTCTGCTCATCCCATTTTACTATTTCAGCTCTTCTCTAATCCAAATTGCTACCCTTATTTGAATTTTTATTAATTGACTTTCTGTGATAACTGTACTAAAGGACATTTAAAGAGTATTTCATAGATAACAGTATGGTAGTTACCAGAGAGAAGGGGGTGGGGAGGTAATAAAGGATAAAGGGGCCAAATATATGGTGATGGAAGATTATTTCACTTTGGGTGGTGGGCACACAATGCTATATATAGATCATGTATCACAGAAATGAATACTTGAAACTTATATGATCCTATGAACCAGTGTCACCCCGATAAATTTAATAAAAATACTTTTTTTAATTTATAGCTAATTCTGATTGTAGTTTATTTTTATTTAGAAAAGGGATGAACTTAACAAAATGTCACAATAAAGCTAATATTCTAAAACAAAAGCTTTATTTGTAGTTCTTTAAAAAATGGCAGCTGAAATCAGCTGGATTTTTTATTAAGTTCTCACAACATAATTTTTAGATTTCTGGAAACACATCCTACTCACAGAAGAGGATAATGAATCAAATAATTTAATCTTTTACCCTTTCAATCATTCTTATAACTTCATCCCCTTTAGAGCATGATATTGAGGTCCATACAGCTATTCTGTGTCTTTTCCCAACAGGATTAAATAAAAGTTGTATGCTAGGGGGAAGATGTATGAGAGCTAAGATTATTAGAATAATGATATTTTTATTTATACCTTTGTATGTGCAAATTTGAAATACTTTAGTTTTTCTTCAGATAATACTAAAAGGGGGAAAATCATCAATTAAAATGGCAAGGCCATAGATAAATTATAGATCAGCATTTTAATAAGCATGATAATATTGATTCTAAACCTCTCTTGTTTTTAACATACTGTCTTCATTTTTTATTTTTATCTAATGAAGATTATTATTATTCTTTGTAGCCTCATATGTAGCATTTTAAACTTCTAAAAATATAATGGTGAATGTTGGTTTCAAAATTTTCAAGTTGCCCAAATATGAATATACTTTCTATGATTTGTAGATACCTCCTTTTTTTAAAAAAAAGAAATATTACTTTCCTTCAGTTTCACACTGAAAGTGAGATCCCTATTGTGGACGAATCTGCCTTGTTCTCATTGTCTAATGGCCCCAGGAGTAGCAGCTCTTCACTTAAGGCATACATTTTTTAAAAAGTAACCTTTTCCTTCCAGACCTCTTAAGCCATGAAAATGCAGCAACGCTGAACGATGTAAAAACACTAGTCCAGCAGCTATACACTACACTGTGCATCGAGCAGCACCAGCTAAGCAAGGAGAGGGAGCTTATCGAAAGATTAGAAGATCTCAAAGAGCAACTGGCGCCCCTGGAAAAGGTACAAATTCAAACCTCAGACTTTTCTCTTCACTGATATATTTTTCAAAGCATATATGTTTGCTTTTTTTTACCTCCATTTTAAGTTTGCTTTTTTATGTAATTGAGCTGTGTCAATCAAACTAGTCCACTAGTTTTTGGGACTGAGCCATAAAAAAGTTCCAATCAAAGCTAAGAAAGGACTTAAAAAGAAATAGTTTGGAGCAGTGGTTCCCAAACTTATTTGGCCTACCGTCCCCTTTCCAGAAAAAATATTACTCAGCCCCTGGAAATTAATTTTTTAAAAATTTTAATAGCAGTTACTCATCGCCCCCAAATGCACCTGTGGCCATCACCGCCCCCCTGGATCGCTGCAGCGCCTACCAGGGGGCGGTAGCGCCCACTTTGGGAATCACTGGTTTGGAGCCTTGATAATGGACTTGAAGCTTTGAGGTCTGAATGTCTGCCCTTACCCAGATTTGCCACCTTTACAACAAAGATTGGAATAACTGCTGATGAAGAAAGGTTTTGAGGAGAGTGGGTAATGATTTTAATCAAGTTAAGAAGTATATAGAATATTCTACAGCTGTTTAGCATGATTGTGTAGACCTAATATACTATAGAAAACTATTCATATGTTTTATGGAAAGGAAATTATAAAAGTAAGCATATTAGTACATACTGTGATCCAAGTTTTAAATGTATTATGCTCATAGTTACACATATTTATGTATTTTAAATACATACATATGTAGAGAAAGATATGCCAATAGAGCAGTAGGATTGTGATTGATTTTTTACACTTTTCTGAGTATTCTAGAATTAACATGTCATTCTTATTTTTTGATGATGCAAGTATTTTCATTTTAAGAAATTAGACTATAAGAGATTAACAAAGGGAACAAATACTCTTTATATTGTGCTTTTTCTGATTTCTTTAAAAATAATCAACACATATCTCAAGGTTGTTCTCATTGAACTTAAGATCATTAGAAAGCTGTGATATAGGGGTTAATGGGGGAAAAGGGGAAACATATGTAAATACTTTCAACGATAAAGATTAAAAACAAGAAAGTTGTGTTAAACTAAATTGAAGAAACTCTTGTCAAGAGGGACGAGTTTTAAATTTGGTATTTTCAAAACGTAAAGCACTTTTAATGTGTCAACTATAATAAAGTAATTATCCTATACTGTATATTTACTATCTACCAGGAATTATGGTAAGTATTTTACCTGAATTCTGTTAATCCTCAGAGCAACTCAATACTGAAGTTAATGGTGATTTGCAATGATGGCTTAAACTCTTCAGGTCTGAATCCAGAGTCCATGCTCTGACTCACTGTGCTGGTCTGCCCACTCCCTAGTAAACCCTTTGAGTAAAAACTGATCATAGATTAAATTTTATATGTAACAGTGAGAGAACATTTGCATGCTTTCATTTCCCTCTTCTTAAAGAAAATAAACTTGTAGTTGGATGAAGAACTGTTGAATCTAATTTATTCACTCCTGTAGTTCTCCATATTTTCAGCCACTTCTAGGATGAAACGTTAAACACACAGTGTCCTAAATAAATATTACTCCTTTTAAATATGTTATTCAGTGAGAACTATTTAGGAAGACAAACTATATTTAATAGAACTGAGACTAACTTGTATCTTGATTATGAGTCCTGTTTCTTTAATGAACATAGAACAGTTTAAATAAGAGTTTTATATTGATTCTATGTCAAAGTGCTTTACGATTGATAGATCATGTGTGCCCCATAGGTACGAATTGAGATTAGCAGAAAAGCTGAGAAGAGGACCACTTTGGTGCTATGGGGTGGACTTGCTTACATGGCCACACAGTTTGGCATTTTGGCCCGGCTTACCTGGTGGGAATACTCCTGGGACATTATGGAGCCTGTCACCTATTTCATCACTTATGGAAGTGCCATGGCAATGTATGCATATTTTGTAATAACACGCCAGGTAAGAATTCTTCTCCAAGTAACTTTTTATGAGATAGTAATGAAGTTTTGGTTGTCAAAGTAGATCTCTTTTCTCTAATATTCTTTCTTTTTTGTTTTTGTTTTTAAATATGTTTTCATTGATTTCAGAGAGGAAGGGAGAAGAAGAGAGAGATAGAAACATCAATGATGAGAATCATTGATCAGCTGCCTCCTGCACACCCCCTACTAGAGATTGAGCCCACAACCCGGGCATGTGCCCTGACAGGAATTGAACCGTGACCTCTTGGTTCATAGGTCAATGCTCAACCACTGAGCCATACCAGCTGGACTCTCATATTCTTTCTAAGGCCAGTTCCCTTTAAGTACTCATTTATCCTTTATACACACACACACACAGACACACACACACACACACACACACACACACACACACGTAGGTGCGCATGCTATTTTTATTTTTTAAAGTTTTTTTTTTATTGCATGTATACATCCTATATAATAAAAGCCTAATATGTTAAGTGTCCAACCATTCGACCAGTCGCTATGACGTGCATTGACCACCAGGGGGCAGA